TACGGGCTAGAGAACGGGGGGGGGGGTTTATTCCCTTTGGGGGCGTGGAGTGTGGGGGCCCAGGGCGAGGAGATTCCCTGGGGGGCCCACGGCAGAGACAGACGTGCTAAGGCTCAGAGGGGTGCGGCTCCAGGAGGTGGAGGGGCCTGACCCCTGGGGCAGAGGGGACCCCGAGAAGGGCTGCCGCTCTGACGGGGGTTCGCCCCAGGGACCGTACGGGACCAGGACTGGGGCCGACCTGGGAGTCCGTGAGAGGGCTCACCTTGAACAGCTGCACCCCGATGCAGGCGAACATGAACTGCAGCAGGGTGGTGACGATCATGATGTTGCCGATGGTGCGAATGGCCACGAAGACGCACTGGACCACGTGCTGGGGGGGGGCAGGGGGGTGAGACCCCCAGACACACAGCAACCCCCCCAGCCCCCTCGGACACACCGGCCCTTTGGCGCCCCCATCACAGCGCCCCCGGGCCTGCAGCCCCTCCCCCGAGCACTGCCCCCCCAGCACTGCCCCCCATCCCAGCCCTCTGCACACTGCCCCCCCAGCACCCCTTCCCCTGCACCCCCTCCCAGCCCCTTGCACACAGCCCCTCCCCCGAGCGCAGCACCGCTCACCTTCAGCCCCTCCCAGCCCTCTGCACACTGCCCCCCCCAAGCGCTGCCTCCCCAGTGCTGCCCCCCCAGCACCCCCTCACCTTCAGCCCCTTGGCCCGGTTGATGGCTCGGAGAGGCCGCAGCACGCGCAGCACCCGCAAAATCTTCACCACAGAGATGGCGCTGGAGCTGGGGAAGGAGTGGGGATCAGAGACATTGGGGAGAGTTCCCCAACTCCCCTGCCCGGTACTCCCTGCCCCCTTTCATTACTACCCCCAGCATATCCCACTGCCTCCACCAATCCTTCCAACGCCCGGCGTATCCCACCGCCTCCACCAATGCTTCCCGCACCCGGTGTGATGAACTGGGACTGTTCTTACTGTGGTCTGTGAATGCTGACAGGGGAGTGTGGCTAGGATAGTCTGCGTTGGGGAATGGGAGACTGGCCGACGGAGAATACCTGAGCATGTAACATGAGAACCCAGGAAGGGGTTAGAGGCCAGGTGACACCTTTGCCCGGGAACTGAACAAAGGCTGTGGGAGGGGTCGCTGAAGGGAGGGTTTCAGGGGCTGGCTGGCAGACAGGGCTCTGACCTCCCAAGGGGGCTGTGGTGTCCCTGGGACCCCAAGCTGGACCTAACTGAGGGGATCCTGTTGTCTGTGCCTGCAAGGCCTGTCTTGGACTGTATTCCTGTCGTCTAAATAAACCTTCTGCTTTACTGGCTGGCTGAGAGTCATGGTGAATCGCAGGAAGCCGGGGGTGCAGGGCCTTGTGTCCCCCCACACTCCGTGACACCCGGCGTATCCCACAGCCTCCACCAATCCTTCCCACCCCCGGCGTATCCCACCGCCTCCACCAATCCTTCCCGCCCCCAGCATATCCCATCGCCTCCACCACTCCTTCCCGCCCCCCGCGTATCCCAGCGCCTCCACCACTCCTTCCCACGCCTGGCGTATCCCAGCGCCTCCACCACTCCTTCCCACGCCCGGCGTATCCCAGCGCCTTCACCAATCCTTCCCGCGCCCGGCGTATCCCACTGCCTCCACCAATTCTTCCAACGCCCGGCATATTCCACTACCCCCATTAATCCTTCCTACACCCAATGTATCCTACGGCCCCACCAATCCTTCCCGCCCCTGGCATATCGCACCGCCTCCACCACTCCTTCCCATCCCTGGCGTATCCCACCGCCTCCACCAATCCTTTCTATACCCGGTGTATCCTACGGCCCCCACCCAATCCTTCCCATGCCCGGTGTATCCCACTGCATCCACCAATCCCTCCTGCGCCCAAACCATTTCCTGGGCCTGGCTACTCCCTTCCCTCCCCCCCAGCCCCATACAGCACTGTTCACCCACTGCACTCTTAGCCCCCCTATCACCAGGAGCCGCTCTTCCCTGCCCCACTCACTGGATCCCGAAGGAGATGAGGGAGACGCTCACGACCAGCAGATCCAGCAAGTTGAACCAGTTCCTGCAGAAGGACCCTTTGTGGAGGAAGGCGCCGTAGGCTGTCATCTGGGAGGGCGGGGGGGAAGAGGGTCAATCCAGGCCTGTGCTGACCCCTGGGCCCCGTTCCCCTCCCCGAGCCGGGAGAGAACCCAGGAGTCCTGGCGCCCAGCCCCCCGGCAGTACCTTGAGCAGGATCTCCACGGTGAAGATGGAGGTGAAGGCGTAGTCGAAGTACCCCAGAATCTGAGCAGGGATGGGGGGGGAAGACAAGGCCATGGGGGAGAGTCAACGGCCAACGTGGGGCAGCCCCCCCTTCCCTGCCCCAATGTCCCCTCCTGCTCCCCTAGCCCTGTCCTGCCCGTCTGCCCCACCACAGCGCCCTCCCCCGCTCCCCTGTGCCCCTCCTCGTCCACCCTGCCCAGGCCCCTGCCCCATCCAGCCCCCTTCCTCACCCCCTCCCACGCCTCCCTCCCATCCATCCCCCTCCTGTGCCCCTCCCCCATCCTCCTCCTTCCCCCTCCCCCCTTGTACCGCCCCCCACCCCCGGGGGTCTCACGATGTTGCGGAAGGAGTGGGCCCGGATGGGGTCCTCGGCGGCCAGCGAGATGCTGCTGAGGATGATGAAGACGAGGATGAGGTTGGTGAAGATGTGGTGATGGATCAGGGCGTGGCACCCCACCCGGAGCCTGGGGGGAGGGGAGAGATCAGGTCAGAACCAGAACCGCCCCCTGCCCGCCCCCCCACAGCCAGCCAGTCAGTCCCTGCCCTGGGGCCGGGTGGGAGCTGGCGCCCCCCAGAGGGGACAGGCCCCTGCCCCATTCCCCGCCCCCCTGAGCCAGCCAGTCCCTGCCCTGGGGCCGGGTGGGAGCTGGCGCCCCCCAGAGGGGACAGGCCCCTGCCCCATTCCCCGCCCCCCTGAGCCAGCCAGTCCCTGCCCTGGGGCCGGGTGGGAGCTGGCGCCCCCCAGAGGGGACAGGCCCCT